TCTTCCAGCTGCTCTTGTGGGTGACACTGATGACTGGACAAAGGACAGCCTGTCCCCCTGGCTCAGCGACCCTCCCCGAGCACACCCCCTCCTGCCCACACCATTCGTTTTCTTCTTTATCTAACCCATCTTTATATAACATGCTGTGCCAATCTCTGCCTTGAGAAAGCCTGTCTCTCCACCCTCTTGCCACCCCCCCCCAGTTTCTGCCCCCTGCAGCAGGCCCTCTAGCAGAGCCTGCCTGTGGGCCTCTGGTCTCTCTCCCATTGACTCTGGAACTCACTCTCACTAGTTTTGGCTCCTGCCTCTCTACCCATGTTGCTGAAGCCAATGCCAGCCCCAGATGCCTACCTCACCCCTAACCCCCAGCCCTGCCCCCGCAGACTGGGGCGCCTTCCACTCTGCTGCTTCCTCCCTGGTGGCAACTGCTCACATTGGTCACTGTCTCTGTTTTCTGTCCCCATACACCCCTGTGCCTTCATCTGGGTACTGGCTGAAACATGGCACCTTCCTGTGAACCCTCAGCCCTGAGTTTAGCATGGCGTCTCCTCTAGACTCCAGATGTTATCCCTGCTTCCCATCCCTCTGTGGCAGCGGTTCTCAACCCTCCGGATGCTGTGGCCCTCTAACAGTTCCTCAGGTTGCGTGACGCCCCCACCATAAAATTACTTTACTCGCTGCTTCAAAGCTGTAACTTTGACAGTGCTATGAATCGGAATATAGATACCTGATATGCAACCCCTGTGGGGTCGCGACCCCTGGGCTGAGAGTTACTGCTGGAAGCCCTTGTTTCTTGGCCCACAGACTGTCACAAGCTAGTGGGTCCACAGCCATGCTTCTGACTTCATCTGCCTGTCTCAAGTTGTTGGTCCTGAGACAAGAAAGGAAAGTAGCTCATGGGGTCAGGCACCCCAGGTTGGGGGATGTTCATAGAGAAAGAAATTAAGCCAAAAAAGTGAGGCACCTCTGGGAAAACCGAGGCACGACTTCCCTTACAACTCTTGGGGTTTGTGTGGAGCACATGTCCCACAGATGTCCCGTGGTTTGCGGAAGCAGGGTCACTGATGGGTCCTTGCAGGCAGAGCCAGAGAAGGCCCTGGCACAATTGCAGAGTGTGCATGATTGCTCTGAGCCATAGGCATGGCTCATCACCTAAGTAAATGGTAGATTCCCCCACTGTCCAGGCCTCTCACTGAGCACCTCTATGCCTTGACTCTGTCTTTCTCTCTTTTCTGGCCCTGCCCTCGTCTGCTGCTTTTTACCTATAAACCACTAGTGCCTCTGATTTTGCTCTGGGCCTTGACCTGCCCTCACTTCTGATGTGGCTAAAAAGGATCCATTTAGGACCATGTCAGGCCCCCTTTGCTTAAAAGCCACCAGTGACCCACGCCCCATCAAGGTCAAAGTCCACAGTGCCCTCCAGTGTCTATCTTCCCACCTTGGTGAAGCATCTTACACCGCTTCCTCTTCAAGCACTCTGCTCTAGCAGGTGCATCGCTTGCTGTCCAAGCACACGCTTACCTCAGGGCCATTGTACCCGCTGTTCCCGTTGTCTGCAGTGTTCCTCCCCCATTTATCCGTGTGGCTAAATCTCTCACAGCTTCTGTGTCCAGCTCACACGCCACCTTCATATGTGCGTGCGTGCACTCAAGTGTGCAGGTGTGCACTCGAGTGTGCAGGTGTGTGTGTGTGTGTGTGTGTGTGTGTGTGTGTGTGTGTGTGTGTGTGTGTGTGCATTTCTCCTGTGTGTGTAGTGTGTGCATGTGTGTGCATGTAGAGGCCAGAAATGTGAGCTGTATTCTTCAGCCATTTCATACCTTATTTCTTGAGGCACGGTCTCTCACTAAGCTAGATCTCCACAGTTTGGATACACTGGTTGCCGGTAAGTAGGGTGTGGTCTGCCATGCCTCACTTTTTTGTTTGTTTGTTTGTTTTTACATATAGGTGCTTGGAATTCAATCTCAGGCCCTCATGCTTCCATGGCAATCTCTTTTACAGCTGAGTTATCTCTCAGCCCTCCAGTGGCCCTGTAAAGGAGTTGTTCCTTATCTGTATTAAATGTCACCCCCCACACACCTAGCCCTGCTGCTCTTCTGCTCTATTTATCCATCACCACTGTTAGCACTCAGGCACCTGTGCTGGCCTGCCCTTGGGGTCCTGACAGGATACGCCCTCAGCTGCAGCCACTAAGAGCACCACCTGTGCACATTCACTGTGTTCCCTTTTAAAAGGGCCCCGCCCACCTCCCATCCCCCTCTCTCTTTCTTTCTCTCCCTCTCTCTGTCTGTTTGTTCTGCACCCCTCTCTCCTCCCCTTTCCTCTCTCCTGTTGCTCCTGTCCCTGGAGGCTGGTCTCTCCCCTCCCCTTTCCCTAATAAAACACCTCTCTGCTTGAACCCTGTCTCATGGCCTTTCTCATGCCTCTTTTCTTAAATGACAACAACAACCCCATCTGGAATCTCTAGCCCAGGTTGGCTTGAACTTTATGTAGCTGAGGATGGGCTGACTTCTGACCTCTCACCTCCCATACCCCGAGTCCTGAGTCCTGGGATTACAGATAAGCACCCCACACTCTGCCAGCCAAGTCACATCCCCAGCCTGATTTCTTTTCTGTGTCACCAGAGTCTCTGGCATCTTATTTTAGTCTATGCACTGCCGGAGAAGAACTCTCTGGCATATTATTTATTTACTTTCTTTTGGTCTCTTCCTGAGTCCTATGGCCTGGAATACTACGACTGTAATTTCACTGCCACTCATCCAAGAGGCCTCAGTTAGCAAAGAGGAACAGAATCACACAGCGTGTGCACCTGCAATGCACATCCAGGTGACAGGCAGGTGGGCGTATGATCTGGTGCTCACACTGAAGGTGACATACAGTGTCCCCTGCTGAGAAGCTGTGGGGCCCATCCTGGTGCCTTCTGTACACTCCAGGCAAATGGCTTCCCCACACCTGGCTCTACCCACCTATAAATAATGATGATAATGGTTTTCAGGGTGTGTGACCTGGCCAGGTGATGCTAGGGGTCATGGGTAAGGTCATGGGCCTGGCACTGAGAGTCAGTGCCCCATGAGAGTCAGAGGCCACTGAGTCCCTCCCCGATGCCAGCTCTGGACCTCTGACAAAAGGGACAGAAGTAAGACTGCTCTCTGAGGAAGCCTTTGCTACCCATTGCACCAGGCTTTGCACCATCATCACCTTCAACTGGTTCCCTCAAGCCAACACTATGCCTCCCCCAGCCTCAGCTCCCAAGACTGCCCCACCTGCTCCTGAGAGGGAAGGGTACCCTTTGAGGGTGACCACAACCAGGCCTGATGTCTCCCTTTCTTCTAGCTTCCTTCTGGGACATCTCCCCTACTTTTGGAAAAAGGATGAAGACTGTGGCCGTGTGCTTCAAGATTTGTTTTTGGATTGGTGAGTTCCAACTTGTCTCTTGTTCTTATCCTGGCTCTCTCAGTGGGAGCCCCACTTTGTCTAACCCAGCACAGAAGCTCTCAGTCTGCCTACCCTGCCCCAAGTCACTCCCAGTCTCTATCCCAGGCTAGTACCTCCAGCTGGGCACTCCCAGCACCTGACCTTAGCCAGGGCACTCCAGCCTCAGCAGCATCCCTGAGCACAGAGGCAGATAAGGCAATGTTAGCCAAGATTTTTTGTTGACTAACTGAGGAGCCTTAGGATAGCCCTTAGGATCTCTAAGCCTCAGTTTCCTCATCAGTAAACTGGCTTTGCGTGCAGGTAAAAGTTATTGTTTGGGGTGTTATTCTCTATCTTTCAAAACACTCCTGAACGCATGATATCACTTCATTCCTGGCACAAGCTTTTGTGGGTAGAGGAGGGTATTTCAACCCTTCTTTCTTGGACGTGGAAAGGGAGTCCTGACTTAGCAATGAGTTAACAGCAGAGAAGAGACACACATACCCCGCCAGGCTTCCTGGGCCCCAGAAGAAGGTCTGCAACTAGGGCCAAGTGTCTCTTGGAATGGAATGTCTCTGCTCCTCCTGGCAGTGGGGACCCTCTGAGCCAGGGGTGATGGTATTCAGGCCTGGGGAACTGACAGTTGCTTTGTCTCCTAGGGCTAAGAAGTATGGTCCTGTTGTGAGAGTCAATGTCTTCCACAAAACCTCAGTCATTGTCACGAGTCCTGAATCAGTCAAGGTAGAAGATGGTTCCCTTGCAGCGTCCTTCCCTTTCCCTGGTTTTCGGGTGACACTGGGCCCCAGGGACTAATATGGCCCTGCTAGCCAACCTCCTTTGCGTCCTTTCCAAGGAGGCTTTTCTGTGTAGTCCAACCACATGATATGTTGAAACTTCCCAGAGGTAGGGCTTAAGTACCCTATTGATAGAGGATTGTGGGCCATGTTGGTACTAGGGACAGGTACCCATTACCTTCAGGGATACCCTCAAATATGACCTGGGCAAGTGACTTCATTTCTCTGGGCCCCAGTTTCCTTCTTCATCTTTAAAGTAGCGATGATGGCCTCTCACAAGGCTTCAGAATGGGGAGGAATTGATATGTGTGAGCCCTCTACCCATGCCTGGCACACAGCAACACCTCAATAGATGGTGCTGTTCCTAGTGGACTTGTGGGTGGAGCTCTCTGCATTCAGGGTGGCTGTGTGACCCATAGAGAGAGACAAAGTGCAATTCAGGATGTGTGTGTGTGTGTGTGTGTGTGTGTGTGTGTGTGTGTGTGTTCAAGATTTATCTTTTAATCTGTGTATATTTTTGCATCTGTGTATGGGTATGTACCAGTGAGTGCAAATGCTTGCAGAACCCAGAAGAGGCCTTGCATCCCCTGGAGCTGGAGTTACGGGCAGCTGTGAGCCACCTGACTCAGGTGCTGGGAATTGAACTCCAGTCCTTTGTGAGAGCAGTATGTGCTCTTAACCTCTGAGCCATCTCTTCAGCCCAGTGTTAGTGGGTTTTGTTTTGTATTGCTTTGGCAATCCTGGGAATAAAGCCCAAAGCCTGGGTCTTACAAGGGTGTCACCACTGAGCGCCACCCCCAGCCCTAAGCTAGAGCTTCATAGACAATATCAGGACAAGGCCTGGGTCTTACAAGGGTGTCACCACTGAGCGCCACCCCCAGCCCTAAGCTAGAGCTTCATAGACAATATCAGGACAAGGCCTGGGTCTTACAAGGGTGTCACCACTGAGCGCCACCCCCAGCCCTAAGCTAGAGCTTCATAGACAATATCAGGACAAGGCCTGGGTCTTACAAGGGTGTCACCACTGAGCGCCACCCCCAGCCCTAAGCTAGAACTTCATGGACAGTATCAGGAGACATATTGGACAACCATGGCATCATGAACAAAGTTAAAATCATTTAAAAATATGAATTCCTCTGGTGTGGTGTTGCACTCCTCTAATACCAGCACCTTGGAGGCAGAGGCAGGGTTTTGTATGACTTCAAGGCCACCCTGGTCTACACAATGTGTACCAGGCCAGCCAGAGCTACCGAGTGAGACCATCTCACAACAACACAAAGCATTTCTGTCATTGTTTCACTTCCTTAAAGGGTGCCAGGCTTCAGCTTGATAAGTGACTTCCTTGCAGATGGGTTCGGTCCTTTCCAGCCTTGACTGAAGCATAGGCTAGAACAGACTTGACTCCAGGGCTGGGCCAGCCCCTCTGTGAGGGAATAGTTATTCTGCAGCCCCTCCCAAAGACTTTGTGTCTAAGGCTGGTATGCCCTGGGCCAGGGAAACTGCACCTACCTGTGGTGTGTGTGAGCCCGGAGCCCCTCAAAGCCAACGGCTGTCCATTCATTGTGCCACCTCTGTTTTGCAGTGTCACTGTGTGTGCACATGGTGCATTCGTGAAGCAGGATGCAGCCCCTCAGGATCTCTTTTCACCCATAGCTTCCCTCCAGAATGCTGGCCTAAAACTGCCAGCCTCCAGCAGTCTTCCTGGAACCTGCCCCCTGACTGTGCCACTTAGCACAGCTGCTGGGCTGTATCTGGGTCTCCTTTAGTGTCTTTGTTCTGGAATTGACTGGGTGGAGTGGAGAGCAGGATGGCCCTCAGTCACTATGCCCTTGCTTGCCCTGCTTTTCTGTCCTTTTGGTTCACATTCCCATACGTCCTATCCGAGCATCTGAAGGTAAACACTTGATACGTTTTCTTTTGCCCAGTTTTCTGGTTATTTACTGCAGGAGAGTAAGTCCCTAGCTGTTACTGCCTCAGTTGTGACATCAGTAGAAGTGACCAGAGCAAGAGGTAAGGTGTGTGTGTGGGTCCTTGTGTATCTCTTTCACCCCCAAAGCACAACTCAGTGGTCAGTCATGAATCTTTTGGGATATCAGGCTGTGGGAGATTCCTGGTGGTGGCACCTCAGTAGTAGAGACTCTAGTTTAGTTGAGGAGGGGCTCACATATGTGGGGGACCTTTGAGAGGAGTACGAAGGTGAGATTTGCTGTCATGGCCTTGGGTGGACAGGGTGATAGATGGCAGACTTGATTTATAAAGTGTGTGGGCATGGGGCTGACATTTCTGGATTGGATGAGAGACTCTAATGTCTCTCATAGTTCAAAGTCAGCCACCTCTGGGTTTTCTGTTAGCTGAAAACTTTTGGTGTGAGACTGCAGGGCAGAGCCCACAGAAGCCCGTAGCCCTGGTTGTTGTAGAGAAGTTCCCAGCTCCTTCCCAGAGCTCCCAGAACCAAACTTAGTCTCTGACGGGGCCCTGTGAACTCCACTGCCCACCCCACTTCACAAATCATGGCTGGGATGTACCTTAGAACCCAGAGTTCACTCCTTTCACTTGGCTGCATATTGTCTGGTTCAAATCCTGTGTCCACCTTGCTTCAGCTTTTGCTGTTCTGTTTTTTGACACAGAGTCTAACACAGGCCAGGCTGGTCTCAAACTCACTATGTAGCCAAGGATGACCTTGAACCGCTGACCCTCCTGCCTCCATCTCTGTGCTGGCATTATAGGTGTCCGCCACCATGCCCATCTTCTGCAGGGCTGGGCACTGCAGATCCACGGCTTTGTGCTTGCTGGGCAAGCACGCTACAAACTCGGCAGCATCCCAGGCCCCGTGTGCTAGGTTCAAATCTCTGTTTCTCCATCTGTGTGTACAGTGAGCATAAAACAGCTTCTGTGTCTGAGGGCTGGTGGAGCAGGAAGAGAACTAACTGCAGGATGCCAACACATTGGCATTTATTGAGCGCTTGCTGTGTACCAGGAACCGTTTTCAGTTCTGCTGCAGAGCTAGCTTACTGCTCACTACAGCCTGGACCAGGCAGACACCTTTCAGCATCATCTTCAGACAGGGGCCAACTCATCCAGGGGATGGTGTTAGCAAATACGGAACAATGCTGAGCCTAGCCCAAGCCATCTTCTACTGGGTTCCACTGCCCCAGAAGCTATTGGATGACATCAGTGTTGATATCACATAGCTCTTGAGAGGCACTCCAGAAAGTTCTTTTTCCTGTGAGGCTGGCTTGGGACTGATGACAGAGAACACACATAGAGAAGGTCTCTCCTGTGTCAAAGGTTCACAAAAGTGTGGGCCTCTTTCACACTGCTTGGAAGGCATGGTGTATGGTCCCATGCCCATTCCAGCTGGGTGGTCACAGGACAAGTCCCAGCATCTCTGGAACCCTTTCTATATCCCTCTACAATTAAAGACAGGCTTCCTGGTATGTGACTAACCGTCCACTTGGTCATGTATTTGTTATATTCCCTTTGGGGCTGGGGCTTGGCTGGTGTCAGCATGCTGCCGAGGGCAACCTCTCATGGATTGTGTTGTTTTGGGGGGCTATTTAGAAGTTCCTGATGTCCACCAAGTACAACAAGGACTCCAAGATGTACCGTGCGATTCAGACTGTGTTCGGGGAGAGGTAAGGACGCTGGGAACAGCACGCATGGTGGCTGCCCTGTGCATGGTGGCACCACTCTTGTCATTGGTATTTAATGCCTCTTCCCCTCTGGGGGCAGATAGGGACATGGAGGTTGTTGATGCTGGGACACGGGGCCACCCAGCTTGTTTATTGATGTGTTTAGATTGGTGTATAAAAATGGCATGTTTGTAAGACGCACATGATGTTTTGAGACACACACCACTCTTCCTTTCTTACTGTACTAAATGGCCTCTCTCACCCACATTGACACCTATGAACTGGCTACACCCACAGTGCGAGGCAGCCATCACCCCACAGGTGACTCTGTGCCTGCTGAGCAGTCCCTCCTGCTCTCCACCTTCCTTCTGGCACCCATTTCCTGTCTCTTGCAGACTATTTGGCCAGGGCTTGGTGTCTGAATGTGACTATGGGCGCTGGTACAAGCAGAGAAGAGTCATGGACTTGGCCTTCAGTCGCAGGTGAGCATGCTGGGACGGGACAGGCCCTGCTTGGCCAGGGGTGGTGCTGGCTGGAGAGGGCTCTTCAGTGGGGAGGCCTCATTCAGCTAAAGAGATATCTGGGGACATCAGAAGTCAAAAGGGGGCCGGGCGTTGGTGGCGCACGCCTTTAATCCCAGCATTTAGGAGGCAGAGGCAGGCGGATCTCTGTGAGTTCGAGGCCAGCCTGGTCTCCAGAGCGAGTGCCAGGATAGGCTCCAAAGCTACACAGAGAAATACTGTCTCAAAAAACAAAAAAACAAAACAAAAGAAGTTAAAAGGGATAACTTAGTGAGGCCCCTATTTGGCTAGCTTGGGAACAAGGTCTGCATGACCCCAGTGGCCAGAAGTGGGGACAAGGGTGGAGTCCTTGCTATCCAAAACCACCCCACCTCAGACTCTGGGTTTATTTTATTCAGTTTTAAAAATAAGATCCTTGATGGTACTTTTTTTAAACAATAACTTTTATTGAGTTGTACATCACATTCCTTACACTTCTCTCATTGGAAATGTATCATTCAACAATTTTTAGTGTTCCTAGATTTGTACCACCATCACTACTTAATTCCAATCATCACTCTGTCTAGATTCTTGACCTTCCACATACATGGATCAACACAGTGTGCAGCCCTTCGTGTATGGCTTCTCTCACCAAGAATGATGTTCATAACCTGTACTAATATTTAGTTCCTTGTTACTGAATAATGCCCCCCCACATAGTTAGTAGGCAGAGAGCTTTCATGAACAGTGCTACCAGGACACATTGGCATTGGTTTTCATGTGGACACGCACCTTCGTTTCCCTTGGGTATAAATAACCTTTTGTAGTCGTGGGGTAGCGTGCTGAGTGTGTGTCTAACTTTCTGAGAGAGGCAATGTTTTACTTTGATATAATTTCAAATTTATGAAAATGTCTTTTATTCACATTGACTTGTTGTTAGAGCCATAGTTTCATTCTCTGTCTGTGTGTATACATGTTTATTGTGTGGGGCATAGTGGCGCATACCTGTATCTCCAGAACCTAGGAGAAGGAGACAGGAAAACTACAAGTTCTAGGTTAGCCTGGGCTACATACTGAGATCCCCCCCATCTCAAACAAAAGAACTATATTCATATATATGTATATATGAATCATTATCTACAGATAACTTGCCTATACAGACACATACATACATCTGTATTTGCTATTCTTTCTATGATGTGTGTATTGGTCTATGCAATTTCCTTTTCTTGTTCCTTTGTTTTTTTTGTTGTTGTTGTTGTTTTTTTCTGAGATAGGGTCTCACTAGGTAGCTCTGGCTGTCTTGGAACTTGCTATGTAGACCAGGGTGTCCTCAAACTCACAAATGATCTGCCTGCCTCTGCCTCCTGAGTGCCAGCTGGGCACACCATCCTTCGGCTTGGGCTTGTTTATGATCTCCTCGTGATGAGGCTTGGGTCTGTTTTTGTAGAAACAAGAATCACATCCCAGGGTGCACGGTGATTGTTTGCCCTAAGATGACTTTGTTTAGGGTTAGGGTGAGGGGTCCATAAGGGTTTTTGGCTACAGGTCCCTCTAGGTCCCTCTAGATTCTAGAATCTAGAATTAATAATCTGTGGAGTCTGTGTAGACATTCCCTCCTGAGCCATCCCTGTAGTCTCTCCTATGCCCTCCCTGCCTCCACCTTTTTCCTTCAATGCATCCTCCTAACTGCTCCAGACAGATGTCAATAAAACTCAGACTTCTCCCACCCCACTGCTTGGTAACCTTTAGTGACTCACAGTCAGATGAAAGATGGAGGTCAGCCCTTCATCTCTAGTCTGCCCCTGCCTTGCCAGCTTCTTGCTTCCCACCATCCTGGAGCTACCATATTCTTGTTTACACCATCTCAGTGTGCTTTCCCTAGGGAATTCCTGTTGCCTGTGTGATACCCAGCTGAGGTATTCCCTCCAGGGCTGAGCGCATACCCCATCATGGCTCCTGCCACACCCAGGGAGTGTTGTTTCCCCAACCAACCCATCTCTCTAATGATATCATGAGTTCCAGAAACAGGAGAGATCCTGGCCCATAACTTCTGTGTCCACACAGCACAAGGTACCCCACAAGCTCTCCAAGAATGCCCATGAGAGATCTGAGGAACTGGCAGAGTCTGGAACTTCCTTGGGAGCTGCTTAAGGAATAACAAGGGAAAGTGAGAGTGGGTTATACAGCCAGCTGAGTGCTGTGGTCCCTGTCTCCAGTTATGAGGGGAACAAAGATTCCAACCAGATGGTTCTAACCACAGAGCCTGGTAGAGATGCTTGCTACCAAGTTTACGTTCAATTCCTGGACCCATTTGTTAGGAGAGAACCAATTCCTGAAAGTTTTATCCCCCACAATATATGTTAAAAAAAAAAAAGAAAGCTGCAGGTCAGTCTTCATCACTCCTTTCAGAAAGAGGACCCCGTATTTGACTCCCACAGCATTTAAAAACACCGCTGGGGCCTGGGGAATGATTTAGCAGGTAAAATTCTTGCCATGTGAACATAAGGACCAGAATTTAGGCCCTCCAATCTGGGTGGGTGTGGAGGCCCACCTGTAATCTCGGTATCTGGAGATGGAGGCAGGAAATCCACAGAGCAAGCTAGCCAGTTGGACTGGTTCAAACAATGACCTCTGGACTCAGTGAGAGACCCTGCATCCATACATAGGTAGAGAGCAGTAGGGAAAGATACTCCACGCCAACCTTAGGACTTCACACACTCACATGCATGTGCATGAGCACATACGCTGTGCATACATCCTACCCCCTGAGCAAAAAGGCCCACATAGCACCAAGTATGGCATCCTGGCCCTCTCATGTGGCAGGATGTTTTATTAGCATTTTTGGGAGCTCCCACAAGATGTTAAGGTGCCACCCTAGAGAGGGCCATTTCTTTGTAAACGCCTATGTTGTCAAGCTGTAGGGAAGACTTTGGACCATTCAAGCATTGAGAGGCTGGGTAAATCCTAATTCACCCATGAAGAAAATATAGGAATGGCTGGTGGCTCAGCCTCCAGCTGTTATCTCCACCAAATGCCACTACATCCTTTAAACAAAACTGCGAGAGTACACCCACACTTTCTACTTCCGAGATTTTACTTTTACTAGAAGAGCTTGGTCTAGGTTTTGTTTGTTTGTTTGTTTTTTCTAGAAAAGACTAGAGTGTTGGGGCCAGCAAGATGGTTCAGTGAGTAAAGGCACCTGCTTGCCAATCCTGGCAACTTGAGTCTGATTGCTGGGATGCACTAGGTTGAAGGAGAGAACCAATTCCCCCAGGTTCCCCTTTGACCTCCCCAGGGCACTTATTTACATATATGCATATATGCGGTGCACATGCATACACACACACAGTACATAAATAAACAGATGCTGAGAACAAAAGACCACAGGGCAGAGGCTGCGAGGCTGCACCACATCCCTGTCCCTTCAGCAGCTTGCTTTGCTTACCGTGGTGGCCAGAAAGTCAGTGTTGGCCAGCCACACACTGCCCACATAGTTCACCAGACAGTGATTGCTAAAAGCAAATACAAAAACAGCCACTCAATGCATCCCTGCAGACTGTGTGAGCAGATGAAGAGAAATCAAGGCATTAGGATCATGTATTGGTGCTTGGGAGAGACTTGTCCCGAGGATCATCTTGAAGCTGGACAGGTGTCCAGGTGCTAACGGGAGGGAGGACAGTGGAGGGACTTGTGCTCTACGGTGGGTTGGAGCTGGAGCGTTATTCTTTGAAGGAGGGTGCCGTTGCGGGCAGAAGTCAGCAGGGGGCAGAGTCTGCCCCTCCCTTCCCTAGGTTTTTTTTTTTTCTTCCTTCCTAAGAGCAAAAGTTGCTTCCAGGATTTTGAGGTTGGGGAGGAAGGGTGCTGAGAGATTCTTCCAGGGAAGGCTGGCTGTAGGATAAGATGCTCAGCTGGCAGCAGCCAGGAAAGAGTCACACCAAGCAGGTGAGGCCCCAGAGCAGTTTCTTTCCTAATTGAAAAAATGCTCTTTTTGTTTCTCTTTCATACTTGTTGCTAATGTTTAAAAAGCTTCTTATTTGGAAATAACTCCAAATTTCCAGATTAAATTGCAAGATGAAGAATGTAGGACAAAGAGGGGCCTGGAGCGATGGCTCGGTGGTTAAGAGCACTTGCTGCTCTTGCAGAGGACCTGGCTATCGCCTGACCCCCACATGTGCATCCAAGAGCATGTGTCATGTGCACACTCAAGGGCCAGCACCCACATGATGGCTCACAACTGTCCAGCTCCAGTTCCCAGGGGATCTGATGTTCTCCCCTGGCCTCCACTGGCACCTGGCATGCGTGTGGCACACTTACATGCATGGTGAAAGACCCATACGCTTAAAATAAGATACAGACAAAGGACCAGAGTCCCCATGTACGCTTTTCTCAGATTTCCGTCAACCACTTCTAATCATAAGCATAATTTTCTCTTGGTAAATGTGTGTAATGGGAAATGTGCCATTCTCCTCTCCTCCTTTCTCCTGTGGTTGCTGTTTTTGAGTTTGGGGTGTATCCCTCCATGAACCCTTCTAAACTGTGCTTGGGGGATGTGCCAGGGCAGAGAACGCAGTGGCCTTGGGAGCTGAGTTGAAGATGGCATTTGGGGTCTCATTTCCACATAGACTTAGGTCCTGTGGCTGCTCAGGGACAGGAGTGAAATGGTACCCTGGCATGGGCAGGTAAAGGGAAGAGACAGTGCAAGCAGAGGGCAGAAAGGAAGTCAGGACAGCTGTGTTTAGGACTGTAGGGGACCCCACAATTTCAGCACTGTCAGATCCCTCTGAAGTCACAGTGGGAGCATCACATTGGCAGAGAACCTATGAAACCTTTAAGACTGGGGGGTGGGGGGCAAAGGGGTAGTGTCCACTCAGGGCTGGGTTCAGTTGCTCTAACCCCAGTCTTAATCTGGGGTTAGTTTGGGAAGCTGACAAGGCCAGAGTTCAGGGGACAGGGTGGCCAGCCAGGGACTCTTGTACTGCTTTCCCAGCTCCTTGGTTAGCCTGATGGAGACCTTCAATGAGAAGGCGGAGCAGCTGGTGGAAATTCTAGAAGCCAAGGCCGACGGGCAGACACCGGTGTCCATGCAGGACATGCTGACCTGTGCCACCATCGACATCCTGGCCAAGGTAATGGGTGGTGCTGGCCAGCGGGCGGAGCCGGGGGAGGCTGGGGCACAGGGACTGTGGCTCCCCTTCTCTCTTCTTCCTTCTATAGCTCAGCTGTGCCTCTTCTGTGCTCTGTGTAGCTTTCATGTTTTATCTCATACATTTAAAGTGACCTAGTGTGACATTGGGTTCTGACTCCATCTCCAAAAAAATGAATCCCCGGAGGTATTGGGACTGGCTTCAGTTGGTCAAGGCAAAGGTGGATGTTCTCTGAGGCCCACCTGTCTTCATGGTCCTCTATACCCCTGTGGGGTGTGGCTGGGTGGTAGCAGCACACTTGGTCATTGTAAACAATGCAGTGCAGTGTGGGTGTGCACCCTGAGCAAGGTCCCAGCCCAGGGAGAAACAGCGTTGGGCCAGGGAGGAGGACCAAACTGTCCACTTAATCATCAGGACTTCCCACGGGGTCAGGCGTGGGTGACACAGCACAAGGTCCAGGTCGCCAGCTGCATGTGCCAGTCTCTGCGTGGATGCACTGTGGCCCGTGTCTCCAGGTTTGACTTCAGCTTTCTCTCCCCACAGGCAGCTTTTGGGATGGAGACCAGCATGCTCCTGGGTGCCCAGAAACCCCTGTCCCAGGCGGTGAAGGTCATGCTGGAGGGTATCAGTGCGTCCCGTAACACCCTGGCGAAGGTACTGCCTGCTCTTCTGGCCACCACACTCTAGTTGTGCCCCTGTGTGTACTGGCGCGCCTCCTTCAGTGACGTCTTCGCAATGGGTTTTGTGTGTCCCAAATGACTTCGGAATCCAGATTTGCATGCTTTGCCTGAAAGTGGAAGGGCAAAATCAAAGTGGTTTAATGTAAGGACTTAACTTTTGTCTTGTGTTAAACGATCCCCAAAGCAGGCATTCTAGGGTGCTATGATGACTTCACCATGACAGATGTCCCTGGATTCTTCTGTCTTTGTGTTCCACTGTCCTCAGAACCTCACCTCATTGTCATAAGATGGTTGTTGTAGCTCCAGCTATCACTTCCCTATTCCAGACATGAAGAAGAAGAAAGGGGAAAGGTGATTCCTGAGCCAATCTCCAGGCTCCCTTCTGTTCCTGGGGGCCTTCCGTCTCTGCGCTTGCAGCCCCCAGCGCCACTGATTGATTCTACTTCACTTCCCTCTGGCCCCGACTTCTCCTTCCCGGTGCAGCCCTAACTGTCTCCCTCCTTCAGGGGCCCTTTCTTCCCAGCGCTGCATGGAGGCGGAAGTTCTAGGGATTTGGTGCAGGAGGGGGAAGCCCATGCTTGGACACAGTCTGCCATCTTGTTCTGGTCTGCCTGGCTGCTTGATCTTTTCTAGAATTTTCTCACGTTCTCCCCGGCACACCGCTGTATGGATTTCCGGGTGGGGGCTGGGGAGGGAACTGTGGACCTTAAGGGCCGCCTTGAGCTGGGGCTCTCCTTCAGTTCATGCCAGGGAAGAGGAAGAAACTGCGGGAGATCCGAGAGAGCATCCGCCTGCTGCGCCAGGTGGGGAAGGATTGGGTGCAGCGTCGCCGAGAGGCCCTGAAGAGGGGTGAGGACGTGCCCGCCGACATCCTCACGCAGATTCTCAAAGGTGGGGATGCTCCTGCCCCACCGCCAAATGCTCCTCACCGTTGGCCCTGCCTCTGGCTTCAGAGAAAATGCTGCTCAGTGAGCCAGGGGCCTGGGAGCCAGGGCTGCCGTGGGGCTGAGCGTGTCCTTGCCTTTCAGCCGAGGAGGGAGCCCAGGACGACCAGGTCCTGCTGGACAACTTTGTCACCTTCTTCATAGCGGGTGCGTAGCTTATGGTGTGGACGGCCCAAGCTTTGCTCCGGGTACCTTACCCCTGATTGACTTCAGGGGTTGTGTGAGCCTAGCTCTGAGCAGGCCCCCAGGGAAGGGAGCGTGTCTGCTGTGTCCTTGACCTAGCTGCTGACTGGGCCATTTGGGGTGTAGGCTTCTTTGATTCAGGAGAGCTTGGCTGTAAATTTAGGGTTCCCTCATTTCAGGTTTATTAAGATTTATTAGCTTGGTACCAATGTGTGCCAAGAACATCCATCCATTTGCTCATCTGGAAAGCTCCCCCCACAGCAGGGAAGCCCTCGGAGATTACCCCCCAAGCACATTAGGTCCAAGTGGAAACCACCCTCATCCCAGACCCTGCCTTCTGCCCCTCCTCCTGTGTGTCTATCCGAGTTGATTTGGTGAGGGCTGTGTCCCCCACGTAAGGGTTCCCTGCTCCGCAGCAGTGAGACGGTGCAGTGTGGACACTCCCGTGGTCCTGTGCAGTAGGGACCCCCACAGATGGGACAAGAGGAACAAATGCTGGGTGCTGGGAAAGCACAGGCAAACAGGAGGGGTAAGTCACGGTCCAATGGCAGAGGTGGACAGGCAGGTTCAGCCACATGGATGGGATGTGTCCAGGTGGACAGAAGCCTATGCAGAGACCATGTTAGAGCTATAGGAACTATAGGGCACCATGCCCACATGGGGTCAAAAGCGTCTCCGAGGGCTGGGACGGCTCAGTTGTTAAAGTGCTTGCTGGGCAAGCATCAGGAACTGAGTTGTGGGTACAGCATCTGCATACAAAGGCCCTTTGCCGGCAGTGGAGCCAGGGGGATCCCAGAGCTCACTGGCCAGCTAGCCTGTCCTAGTCATCCCAAGGAATGACTCCTGAGGTTGACATCTGGTCTCTGCATACATGCACGAAATGCATGTGCAACCCCACGACATGTCAGTACATGCACACACATGCATATGCACACCCATGAACATGTCAGTGCATGCACACACATGCATATGCGCACCCATGAACATGTCAGTGCATGCACACACATGCATATGCGCACCCATGAACATGTCAGTGCATGCACACACATGCATATGCGCACCCATGAACATGTCAGTGCATGCACACACATGCATATGCGCACCCATGAACATGTCAGTGCATGCACACACATGCATATGCGCACCCATGAACATGTCAGTGCATGCACACACATGCATATGCGCACCCATGAACATGTCAGTGCATGCACACACATGCATATGCGCACCCATGAACATGTCAGTGCATGCACACACATGCATATGCGCACCCATGAACATGTCAGTGCATGCACACACATGCATATGCGCACCCATGAACATGTCAGTGCATGCACACACATGCATATGCGCACCCATGAACATGTCAGTGCATGCACACACATGCATATGCGCACCCATGAACATGTCAGTGCATGCACACACATGCATATGCGCACCCATGAACATGTCAGTGCATGCACACACATGCATATGCGCACCCATGAACATGTCAGTGCATGCACACACATGCATATGCGCACCCATGAACATGTCAGTGCATGCACACACATGCATATGCGCACCCATGAACATGTCAGTGCATGCACACACATGCATATGCGCACCCATGAACATGTCAGTGCATGCACACACATGCATATGCGCACCCATGAACATGTCAGTGCATGCACACACATGCATATGCGCACCCATGAACATGTCAGTGCATGCACACACATGCATATGCGCACCCATGAACATGTCAGTGCATGCACACACATGCATGTGCACACCTATGAACATGTCAGTGCATGTACACACACATGCATGTGCACTGCTATGAATGCATATTCCCCCACATGCACACAGAAAAGAAAGCAAAAATGAAACTGCCTCTGAACGAAGGGCAGAGCTCTCTGCCACTGGCCTGGGCCGGTGTGGAACTCCTGGAGAGCCTGAACCCCATTTCCCCACGCTGTCTCCCAGTCAGGACTAAACAGGCCTTCCTGTCCTCACACCACAGCCTGAGCCTTGGCCTGTGTGGAGCTCGGGGCCCAGGAGCGGGTGCGCTGCTGCTCACAGCTCAGGCCGCCCAGGGCTATTCTGGCCCCTCCTGAGTTGTCCTGGCTGGGAGACCCTGGGAGCAGGTGGCCTGGCCTCCCTGCACCAGCCGGTTGTGAGGTGGCTTGTTAGTCACTGGTGGCTGCCTGATGAGCTGTTTGCCCCTCAAGTGCTTTCATGAGACTCAGTGCCCCTCCACACAGCCAAGTCACCCTTGGAGGATTTTGCCTTGTCAACTTGATGGCATCCTTCCTGACCTCAGCTTTCCTGAAAGGACCCTGGCCTTTGGCTGGGGAGGTGTCCTGTCAATCCCTGTGACTGGAGGACCTCAGGGCTAACAGAGAGCTTTGGGTAGATACACAGAGGGCTGGTCAGGGCAGCGCCATGGACCCAAACACTTTCAACTTCAAATTCTTCCTAGCTTATTTTGAGATACTATGTAGACCAGGTTGATCTCAAACTCAGAGACATCCTCCTGCCTCTGCCTCCTAAATTCTGGGATTAAAGGTGTGCACCACCATGAACATCCCTTTGGCTTTCTTTCCTGTAAAATGGGGACAGCTATGCAAAGGATGGAAGCAGTGACTTTCAGAGCATCTAAGTGGAGGCACAGGGCAGGCTTACTCACCCACTGGCCAGCAGAGGGGATGCAAAGACAGACAGACAGACAGACAGACAGACAGACAGACAGACAGACAGAGCGTCTCGTATCACAGCCATGGAGGAGGGAAGAGGTGGACTCTCAGCTGCTACCATGAACCTGGGCTCGCAGGGCAGGGGGTGGGCAACCCTGCAGTTCCCCCAGAGTGGTGACTTGCCTTCCTCCTTCAGGTCACGAGACTTCTGCCAACCACTTGGCATTCACAGTGATGGAGCTGTCTCGCCAGCCAGAAATCGTGGCAAGGTATGAAAGCAGCCCTGGGCACTGGCAAAGGGCTTTTCTGATGTCTTCCCAAGGGCTACCTGTCCCCACATGCCATGGCTGGAACCCTCCAATGGATCTGCTTCCCTTTTCCCCAGGGCCTTTGTACTTGTTTGCTGGCCTGCAACATGTCCATACTCCTCCAGAAAAGCCATCTGAGATCCTTGATGTACCCATCACCTTGCTTCTCCACCCCACTCTACCTGCACTGCCCTAGCTCAGCAGTGTTTCCTTCAGGGACTGTTGTCGCCAAGTCTTTGTTTGCCAAGAGACCAAGAGCTGTGGGCTAACAAGAACTATGGTCCCATTCCTCCTACAGTGCACAGAGTATCCCAGCTGTGGCTGACCACCAGTCCTTTAGGTGGCAGGACCATGGAGGGTAGCGGGGGAGAGGGTGGGACACAGTGCCAGAGCTGGTCAGATCCCAGCTGGCTTCCTTTGCAGATAGGCCCCCCTCAGAAGTGTGAGAGAGCAGACAGAACCAAGCTCAGAGCCCCTGGCCATGCAAGCTGCTGTAGGAACTCTTGGGAAGGGGAGGGAGCATGGATGGTCGTCAGCACCCAGGATGGAAGTGAGAGATGGCAGGAGAGCATAGCATAGCTTGTTGGGGCTGGAGAGGTGGCTCCGTGGTTAAGAGCTCTGGCTGCTCTTCCAGAGGACCCAGGTTTGATTTCCAGCAACCACATGGTGACCTCCAACCATTTGTAGCTCTAGTTCCAGGGGATCCAGAGCCTTCTGGCCTCCACAGGCATTGCATGCATGTGGTATACAGACACACAAGCAGGCAAAACACCAATATACACGAAATTTTAAAAACCGCTTATTGGATATTAAATAAATACATATGTATTAGTACATGTGTGAATAGATGTACTAGAAATATGTCCTTTGAGGCAGATTGGGGTATTCTCAGTGGCAGAGCACTTACTTGCCTCGCATGCAAAAGGCCCAGGTTCCACCCCAGATACTGGGAAAATGTGTCACATTTGAACTATTTTTAAACTCAAAGTCCAGGGACACTAAGTGCATTGACACTGTGGTGCAAGCCTGGCTACCACCTGATCCCAGGGCCTTTTCATCTCCCCACCTTAAAACTCCGCCCCTCCCCCTTAAGCAGCTGCACTGATCTGCCTAGGTGCCTGGCAAGAGGAGCATCAGACAGCGTGTGTCTGTCTGTGTCTGGGTTATGTCAACTCAGCATAGAGTCTCCAAGGCTCATGCGTGTTGGAGCCCAGGTCAGAACTGCCTGCCTTCTTTTTCAAAGTCTAGATCTGGCTCCATCATGGGGGTGGAGAGACTTTGGCTTCTCTGAACAGGGTGACATCTGGGCAGTGTCTGTCCTTTGCCTGCTGCTCACTAGCTGCAGTGGGCACCATCAGTTCCGACCTTCAGAGCTTCTGGGTTTGCACCCTGAGGCAGAATCACTAGACCATAATTCTGATTTTAATTTTGGGGGAGCTACCACCCTGCTTTCCACGGTAGCTACACAGCTTTCTGTTCTCACCCGTGCTCCGCCCGCATCCCATCTCGTCCTGGCCTACACGTAATTTGTTATTTTTAAGTCTTGAAATTTTATTTACTTCTTACTCGCTGCCATCCTGATGGATGGGAAGTGGTCCAGATGCATGCAAGGCTGGAGCCTCCCTGGACCATCTTGCTGGCATTTCTGGTTGTGGCTGCCAGCAGTTCACTGTGGTGGGCATGCTCTGTAGAGGCCTGTGCAGGGGCGTGCTGCATTCTAAGGTTGAATTTGAGCAGCAAACAGCAGCAATGGCTATTTTAAGACTCCGCTCCAGGGCTGGGATGCAGCTGTCTTTCCCAGGTGCGCTGGTGGGAACCCCAGGCCCTGCTCTTTGATCTCCCTTCCACCTGTTGCTTTAAATGCTCCTGTAAAGGGCGGTTTCTCTCCAGAGGTGAATTTATTTGTCTTACCTGGCAGGCTGCAGGCCGAGGTGGATGAGGTTGTCGGTTCCAAGAGGCACCTGGACTATGAGGATCTGGGGAGACTGCAGTACCTGTCCCAGGTGTGCGGTGTGGGTGAGCCGCCTATGGCAGATGTGGGGAGTCAGACCTGCCACCTCTCTGAGCCCTTCTTGGAGCCCAAGCTCCCCTAGATTCAACAGCGGGATAGAGATGTGTTCTGCCCCCCCCCCCCCACCAAGAATGCAGCCAGGGTTGGAAAGTGATCATTTACAACTGGGGCTGAAACTGCTCCTCCAGGCAAGACTGGTTCCAAAGCTTTTCCCCTTGGAGCTGGCTCAGCACCCTCCCATTCAGCCAAGCATAGGACTCCCCTGTGCCCCAGGCAGCCCTCCTCTGGGAGGAGTGGAGCCCTGCCTTCTGCTCCCAATGCTTTTCCTGTGTCCTTCTCCTTTGGGCCTCAGTTTCTCCCATGGCCACATGAGGGGTTGGACACTATGGCAAGGGTGGTATTCTGGGAATCTGGGCCATCCTGGGGCTGAGTGTGTGTTCAGTGGGAATGGGATGGGGACAGAGTGCACTGCTACTGGCCCTGGGGTCTCCTGGGTCCCTGCATCCTCTCCCTGCATGTCTTCTGTAGGTCCTCAAAGAGTCTCTGAGGCTCTACCCACCCGCATGGGGCACCTTCCGCCTGCTGGAGGAGGAGACCCTGATCGATGGGGTCAGAGTCCCTGGCAACACTCCTCTCCTGGTGCGTGGGGCCCTCAGGCCGGCTGGCCTGTTTCTTCCCAGGGTGGACAATTTGAGTTCAGGGAAGTCATAGGCCTGTTCCCATCAAGACAGTCACTTTCCTGGCTGCCTGTGTTTTACCTGAGTGTCCCTGTGACCCTGCCATGTCCTCTCATACCCTTCACATGCCCAGCAGACAGGTCTAGAAAGAAAGTGCCGCACAGACAGCGAGGCTTAGTCACTGTCCTGAGGTCCCAGAGCTGGCAGGAGGGAGATACGGAATGTTCTTAGAGTCACCATTTTGTGTGCTTGTGGTGTGCATGCATGTGAGTGGGCACGGATGTGAGATGTGTGCACACACGGGGTGCTCAGGAATGTGCACGCATGTGAGTGTGTGTGAGATGTGTGCACCCACGGGGTGCTCAGGAATGTGCACGCATGTGAGTGTGTGTGAGATGTGTGCACCCACGGGGTGCTCAGGAATGTGCACGCATGTGAGTGTGTGTGAGATGTGTGCACCCACGGGGTGCTCAGGAATGTGCACGCATGTGAGTGTGTGCGAGATGTGTGCACACACGGGGTGACCAGGAATGTGCACGCATGAGTGTGTGCGAGATGTGTGCACACACGGGGTGCTCCGGAATGTGCATGCATGTGAGTGTGTGTGAGATGTGTGCACACACGGGGTGCTCAGGAATGTGGGAGCTGGAGGCTGATGTCAAGAACCATCCTCAGCCCTTTCCCACCTTACTCACAGAGTCAGGGTGACTTACTCACAAACTCAGAGCTCGCAGATATGGCGAGTCTCTCTGGCCAGCTTGCTCTGAGGATTTTGCCTCTGCCTTCTGAGGCTGGAGTTGCAGCAGGGCAGCCATGCTCACCCAGAATTTTAAGTGGGTTCCGGGGCTCTGAACTGTGGTCCTCAGGCTTATGTAGCAAGCGCTCTAACCACTGGACCGTCTCCCCAGTCTTTGCCCCTCTCTGTGGTTGTATCTTGCTTGTACAAATAAAGCCTATCTGAAGGTCAGAGGATGTCTGGAGGTTGTACAGACAGACAGGAAGTGAGGTAGCTGGGCAGAAACAGGTATAAGCAGGGAGAAATGGGAACTGGCTGTCTTGTCTGCTGAGACGCTAAAGAAGTAAGGTGTGGTGGTGGCTTGCTCCAGCCAGTCAGGCTTTACCACCAGCTCTGGGAGCTGTGCTCACCACCTTAACTGTCGTCTATGCCGCCATCAAGCAGCTTGTAGCATACTGCCCATAAACCTTTTTTGTCTGTATGAGTAAAAGCTAAGTCTGCCATGCACACAGCATGCTGTACCGCTTGGAGATGGCCTCTGTGTACCCTGGTGGGAATCAACCATGCTGTGTTCAAGTGCGACTGCCACAGCATCTCTGCACCCTGGCCTGCATGAGACTGTGGGACTAGGAAGCCCACTGCAGCTCCATTTTATGTGGAAATTCTTGCCCTACATTGGGTGCCATTTGATGATGGAGTTTTTGGCCCACCTGGTCCCATAGCCATTTAGCCCCAAATAAACACACAGAGGCTTATATTAATTATAAACTGTTTGGCTGATGGCTCAGGCTTCTTATTGTCTGGCTCCCTCTTAATTATTAACCCATTTCTATTAACGGTTTACCCGTAGTACTCTGGCATGTTCCTCCTTTGGTGGCTACATGGAGTCTCCCTCACGTGACTCACTCTCTGAGTTCCCCCTCCTAGCATTCTCCTGCCTGGTAGCCCCGCCTATACTCCCTGCCTGGCTATATCCTGCCTGTCCATTGGCCAAAACACCTTTATTCATCAACCAATAAGAGAAACATATTCACAGCATGCCAAAGGACGTCCCCCATCACCTCCCCGGCATTTCCCCAGCTCATCTCCTTCTTTACTGGCCTCCTCCACTGCTGCACTCTTTCTCCTCCTGCCCTCAACCTGTTGCATCCGATGGGTTGTGTGCAGTTCTGTTGTGTGTGCTTCACTCACCCATGGGGCTTATTGTTTGCATGAGCAAACCTCTCACCTATCTCTGCATGCTGCTTGTCCACCCCAGGAGCAATCACTGTCCTTAGTTCAGCACTTGCCACTGCCTTGCCTCTGTCTGGGATTGGAGAGATCCTGAGTGAGTGTGCCCACTCAGTGCCCAGGGCTGACAGAGGCAGCCACAGGCACAGAAGAACTGTCAATAAATAGGGACAGAACGAGCAAAGCAGGATGAGGGTGCATGCAAGGTTTTGATGTGTAGAGGAGCCCCCCCCCCCCCGGCAGCTCCCTGGTCACCCCTGCCTTAGCCTCAGGTTCCTGGCTCATCCTTCCATGGAATTGGGTGGCAGGTACCAAAGTCAGTCCACCCATGTGCATGAGGTAGTACTCAGCGAATACCCCTGGTACATAGTAGGTCCCCTGGTTCTTCACCCCTGCCTGGTGCTGCCTCTCACTTTCACAGCTCACATTTCACAAGGAAATGAGGTGGGCAGGCCCAACATAGCCAGTGCCCACAGCCCAGTTAGGGGACACCTTGCTTTTGGGTCTAGACACATAGCCCTTGGATTCCCAGGGTGTAGGGGGTGAACCAGTTCCCTCAGGAGGCACCATGAGATCAGGTGAAGGTGGTGGGGCTACAGCTTCCCCTAGCTTCTGCTCTGAAGGCTGAAGTGAGCCTGAGGTGAAGGAGGGGTCAGCCTCCAGTGATCAGGAGGAAGGTTCGTCCCAGCACCAGGCCTCAGTCTGTGGCCATTTAGTTGCTGGGTGACTTCAGGTAAGACCCCGAGCCCTGTCATTTGTAAAACAGAGGTCACCGTGGCTGCCACAGGGGATGGTCCAGCACACCCTGATGGTAATGGCTATATCAATGTCCCCTCTCTTCCTCTTCAAAGTTTTCCAGGGGGAGAGTGGATTGTCACATCTATCTGAATAGGTAGAAAGGGGCGGCATTCCACGGGTGGGGGGGTGGGGGGGCTGCAATGGGGTGGGAGGTGCAAGAGGAAAGTCCTGGGAACCAGAGATACCAGCTCCTTTGCCCGGCAGTTCAGCACCTATGTCATGGGGAGGATGGACACCTACTTTGAAGACCCACTCACCTTCAACCCTGACCGCTTCAGCCCTGGAGCGCCCAAGTAAGTCCCTCTGTGAGCTGCCATGATGGTGTCGTGGGAGAAGGCTACTGGGCTGAGCTCTCTGCACCCACTGATTCCATTCTTTCAGAACCCCGGGGAGGGGTCTGTGGGGGCCATCACAGCTCAGGAACGGCAGGTCACTTGCCGTTCCAAGTTCCTTTTTTGTTTCCCTGATAAGTACTAGGACAAAACTGGCCTAAGAGGGAAAGATCTTGGGCAGCTAGCGAGTGGCTTGTTGAGCACGGAAGTAGGGCGACTAGGGAACGTCGATGCCAGTGCTTGCCTTACTCTCTCCATCTTATGCAGTCCAGGGTGCCCTCCCTGCCCAAAGAATGGTGCCACGTGCAGTGGGAGGGGCTTCCCGCCCAATTAATGCAATCAAGATAACCCTCTACAGGCTTGCCTCCTCCTGGCTTCTAGTTCTGCCACATTGATGATTAACACTAACGCTCATACCTGCCCAGGGGCAGAGCTTGGCTGTTTGCTGAGGATGGCTCTGCTCCTGGCCCCACCTGGTCATTGGTGGGGACCGTGGTGTGGACACACTGACCCTGAAGGTCTCTCTCCCACAGGCCTCGGTTCACTTATTTTCCCTTCTCCCTGGGCCACCGCTCCTGCATCGGGCAACAGTTTGCTCAGGTAGGAGGTAGAGGGTCTGGGGCCTCCAAGAAATGACTGCAGGGTGGGGGCCATGCTGGGGAGGGCCTGGGGGGTGAGGCTGAGTGTGCCTGACAGGAGAATGAGAACGGAGAACCTATGCATTTGTTTCTCCCCTGCCCCTCTCTCCCTCTCTCCCCTCCTTCATGGTTTTACCACTGTTTCTGGGTCTCTCACCCTTCCTTCTGCCACTTCCCTCTTTCCTCGCCTTTCCTCTCCTCCCTCCCCCCTCCCCTCCTCCTCATCCTCTCCTTCTTTCCATGCCCTACCCCCACAGATGGAGGTGAAGGTGGTCATGGCTAAGCTGCTTCAGAGGCTTGAGTTCCGGCTGGTGCCTGGGCAGCGTTTTGGGCTGCAAGAGCAGGCTACGCTCAAGCCGCTCGACCCCGTGCTGTGCACCCTGAGGCCCCGGGGCTGGCAGCCTGCTCCCCCACCCCCACCCTGCTGAGCCCTGGGGAGGGTCAGACTCTTCGGGCCAGGGCCTCATTGGCCCCCATTGCTGCCCATGGCCACCCACTGGCACCCCTGACCCTTCTTCCGCCACCTTCCATGATGGCTCCTGGCGGGCCCTGTACCCTCATCCGCTTCACACCCTCAGTGCTTCCTGTCATCTGCTGGCTTTTCAGCCCTTTCTGGTGGGCTCTGCCTGACTCCCAGCCACTACCACCGCCACCTTCTCTCCTGAACCTCTGAACTTCTGCACTGGCCACACCCTCAAAAGAGACACCCTAACTCTTGCTCATTCCCTAAAATCTTCAAGTGACATCCCGCAGGAAGCCCTCCTCACTCCCACGGCGGGCCAGGGTCCCTCCTCTCTGTTCCCTCGGTCACTTGTGCTACCTCTAACACACTGACCACACTGTATTCTGACTGTCTGCTCACGTGACCAGCCGCCCTGCCAGGCTGTGAGTGCCACAGGGCAGGGTCTGTGTGCACATCGTCTCTGAGGCCCCTGCTGCTAACTAGGGTCTGGAACAGAGTCGATGTCCAATAAATGTGTGTTGACTGCATGAATGAACGGCCGCCCAGGCCACAGTGCTCTCCTTTCTTCTGGCTGCAGGGTGGGGTGATGAGGTTGATTCCTGGGTCTGGTACAACTCTGGAAGCTGCCTGCTTACAAATGGCCCTAGAGAGGCCTGGACAATACCACTGTGCAAGAAGCCTGTCTATTACCAGAAGAGTCCTGCTTTAGCAGAAACCAGTTCCCTATGGTAGAGTCTGTGTAGAGGGTCTGAGTGGCTCTGGGGTTGCATGAGGGATCCTGGCATTGAGAACTTGATTTGAGGGGGGGGGTGTGACTGGTCCCTGAGGTTGAGGTGGGTATCCATACCTGCTGACACCTGGGGGCACAGTGTTGTACCTACTGACCTAAGCAGAGGAAGCTCTTGGTAGCCCTGAGGTTTGGGAGTGTGTCAGACCTCAAGGTACAGGAAGCCCCTTTTATAGGTTGCCTGGCAGGTCATGTGTTCTAGGCCAGTCCAGGGGTGGTGGTCTCAGCTTCTCTTCCCCACGGGGAGCCTGTGTCAGCGACAAACTGCCCTCACCCATCAAGGCTCCTCCTGCATACTGAGGAGGTGGAGACCTGTAAGGACCTTCCTTGTACATTGCCTCCTGTGGTCCTTGGCTGTGTAACAGTGGCTCCCAGAAGCTTCCCAAGGGACAGATGAAGAGACTAAGGCCAAGGAAGGCAGTGACTTGCTCCATACAGCTGGAACCTGGAGTGCAGCTGGGACCAGGGGATTGTGTGCCTGGGTTCTTGGCCTGTCCCTGCCACAGACCAGGTTGTCCTGCGCGAGGACTTTGGTCTCAGCCTCTGAGGGATGGGGGGGTATTTGGTCTCAGCAGGGGTCTGGGGACACCTCTGGAGCTGCAGGCCAGGCTCCTGTTGTACTCCATCTCCTGCCTCTCTCTTTCCAGTGCCCTGAGCAGACTCAATCACCACTCCTGAGAATAGCCAAGCTTGGCCTATGTTTTACAGGCAAAGCCATCCCTGACTTGCCACTGTCCCCACCAGCCCTTTTCCATAGGCACTCCACAGGGTACTCTCTCTCATGTCGTCCTCAGCCCTGTCCTGCCATGACTCCCCAACCCTGCCTGGGACGCCTCTGAAGTTCACCAGCCGTCTGCCCCATGCATGCCAGCCCCCGTTTGCTGCTATGGCTGAACCTGGCAGACCCCTATAGGACAGTACCTCCCTAATCACCCATCTGAAAGGGTCACAGGTCACTGGACCTCAGCACTGTAGAGGCACAAGATGGCCTCACCTGGACGACCAGTTCTTTCCAGAAGCGGCAAATGGCCATGTTAGCATCCTCTGGCTTTCACTGGCAATTGTTGAGCCTTCACATCCTCCCAGAGGACAGGAAATGGAAAAGTCAAGATCACAGTGATAATGGAGTCAGGACACACTCATGGCCCTTCATAGCTGTCACCGCAGGTCTGAGTTAGATCTCTGTGCTGGACCTAATGGATTACACACAGAGGACGGGAAGGGCACCTCCTGTAGGGTTGATGTCCTGCTCAGACCCCTAGAGCCACTCCCTACCACACAGTGGGCTGTCTGTGAGGGGCGGTGTCTCAGTCCAGCAGAGGTCAAATCCTGACCCCACCTGTCACTGGCTTTGGATTTAGTTTCCTCATCCAAAAGGCAGGACAGATAGCAGGACCCACTCCCCTGGGCTGGTGGAGCAGTTAGGTGAGTTCTGGCATGCACGGGGTGGAGCATGGCACAAAACCTGTGAATCTCTCCTGCTGGCCATTATTAATGTCTTTATTGCTGGCTCCTAGTAGGGAAGGGCAGGCTTAGGAAAGACTTGCAGTCCCCAGAGGAACCACATGGTGCCACCCTGGAGTAGCTCTGGGATGGCCTGCTTACCCACTAGGACAGGGTGCTCTGTGACTTCCACACCCCGTTGGGGGCCTGGAGTTAGGAGGTGCCTGGATGGTGTCCTGCTGGCCAACAACCTGACCTTCAATTTTCCATACCTTTCCTAGAGATGGGCCTGACTGTGGGTGCTGGAACTCAGTGCACAGATGGGATCACTGGTCAGCAATGCACAATGGGAGGGGCTGAGTCCAGGCTCTCCCGCTGCCTGAGATGCCCTCCCCAGGAGCTCTGGGGTGTTGCTGCCTCCTTGCCTGTCTCTAAGCAGTGGTGACCTTTTCTGAAAGTCCCTCCCTTGTAAACTTGGACACAAGAATGTGGGAGGACATGGGTTCTGAATCTATACCCTGCCCAGGCAGGAAGCTTCCAGTATTCACGCTCAGATAGGCAGTTTATACCAGCTGTCCCCTACACCTTGGGACCCTTTAATAGTGGGTTGCTGCAGCTCCCAAGCAAACAGAGTGGCTACTGCAGCAGGAGGCGTGTTGGGAATGCTCACTGCTAGGGGTAAGGTGTGGGTTCGGATCCTCTGAGAGTATGGAGTCTAGAAGGAGGCTGGGGATCCCACTGGGTGCTGGCTCACGGGGACGCACCTACTTTGCTGTGTTCAGTTCCCAGCTGCCCCAAAGGGAGCTTGGCAGAGGTAAGAACGGGGGATAGCTGCAATAGGAGTATCTTGTCTGTCCCGTGGCCAGCCAGTTTAAAGAGTCTATCCTGTGTGGGGGTGCGGATGGGTGGGAGTCAAGTGGCCCATTTCTGCTTCCCACCCCTCCTCAGGCCTTGGCTGGGGTTTAGCCCAAGAGCAGAGTCTGTGACCAAGCCCTTTGCTGGCCCTTGTACCAGGGCAAGAACCTGTCTCTGGGTGAAAGACCCCAAGGAGAGCATTAGCAGAGGCAGCCTTGAGGGCCTGTTGAGCACTACTTACAATGGCATGTTTGCATGAGGTTCCAGTTCTATAGAATCATCTTAAGGGGCTTTTCCCTGTCACAGGGCCAAGGCAGGGGCCTCAGTGTCCACTGGCCTTACCCTGGTTGCAGACCCAACGATGGGATGCCTTCCCATGAGCCTTTCCTGCTGTCACCACAAGGTAGGGTCCCTAGGGACCTAAGTCAGATGTGAAAGCTTTGACCTGAGGAGCCCACAGTCTGCTCCCACCCAGTGATACTAGAGCTGCCTCTCTCCTGGGAGTGTTTTACTTAGGTGCCTGGGCTGGGCCCGGGGAGGTAGCTGTGCAGAGTTGATTTCCAGAACTGTGCTGGAGTACCAGGTGTGATATGTGTGTGTGTGTGCACACAGGCACATGCATGGATGGATGCCTGTGTATTTCCCAAATGCATATGCTCCCTATGGTTGTGTCTCATATATGTAAATCCCATGTATGTGAACCTATGTGTGTGTAAGCCCCATGAGTACACATTTATGTCTGCTAGGGTTTCTCAGTGTCTCTGTATGTTCCCGTCATCTCCTCCTCGAATATAAGATGGATCACTGCTAGGGGTTCTCAGTGTCTCTGTATGTTCCCGTCATCTCCTCCTCGAATATAAGATGTATGTGAGTCTCCATGTCTGTCTGTGTGTTCATGTGTGTGTCAGGCTGTGTGCAGCTGGGTGTGTCTGACCTTATCCTAGCTGGAGGAGATGTCTGTTCTAATCAGAATTGGTGAAATGCTCGAGAAGTACTGCCTTGGGCTAGGCCTCGGCCAAGCAGCCCCCCATGTTCAGCCCACAAACAAAGGTCAGACCTCTTCCACAAGGCCACCTGGTCAGGAAACATGGAGACATGTTTAATGTAGACATGTACCAGGCTTCAAGTCCCACCCACTGAGGTCCCGGGGGAGGTTATGTATTCTCCCACCCCAGGTCAAGAGAGAAGGGTGTCCCCAGCAAAGAGGACATGCTGGACACCCAATGCCAGGCCAGATGAACCAGGAAAAGCGAGTGCAGCAGAAGGAGACGGGTAGGAAGTAGGCCTCCTCTATGACCATGTCACCCAGGCTTCAGGCTTGGGCTGGGCCCTGCTGGTGTCCAGTAAATGGGTGACCCCAACTCTTGCCAACATTTCTCACCTCACCTGCCGGTCTCTTGCCATTCTGGGGTGGCATGAGCTCTTACTGTTACCAGGCCCTTCCTGCACATTTCCTAGGTCTCTGCTAAACAGTTCCCCATAGGAGCCCCCTGACCACCTGCCCTGCCTTCCTGACCTCAGGTCCTCCTTTTGCAGCAGCCCCAGTCCTCGGGCGACTGCACAAAGGCCTTCTCCATGCTGTGACCCCGCCCCACCAGTAGTTGTTGGAATTGGCACCAGGTGCTGGTGAGCTAGGGACAGTCAACTTCAGCATGAGCTGGCACAAGTCTGATGGCACATGTTAAATGCTCGCCTCACATCCATGCATGTATGGCACATGTGTGCACATCTGTGTGTGCGCACATGGGAACACAGGTCCACTACCAAACATATGTATGCATACATGCACACCCACACCCACAACTTCTCATGCATGCAGTGGGGTTCATTCACTGCTATTATGACCTCAAGGACAAGAGAATCAAGTTGTTTTTCCCCTAACACATGTCCCACAATAAAACAGGAAGAGACTTGGGGCCAAGGACAGGAAGGGGAAGTGGCCTGCACACAGGAGCTGACAGGGTGGGACAGCTCCAGGGAAGGAGGCAGAAGGTCCCTTGTGGCACTTGGTCAGCCCCTGCCAGGGAGAATATCGAGGTTGAGCCCAGGCTTGTCCAGTCATCCCGAGGCCCTTGTAGAGCTGGCGTCTGACCTGATCTGTGTGTCGCCAGACTCCTTTCAGCCCTGGCCCTGCAGTCTGCCTGTCAGGACCAAAAGTGAGCATCTCTGGTGGCTTCTCCTCCCTAAGTCCCATCGTCTGTCCTACACTAGGGTGTGCCGCATACCTGCCACCCTGGCTGCAGCTGTGGCCGTCTCCTAGGCCCTTGCAGTGAGTTTCCAGGCTCTTCTGTGTTGAACTGTGCTCCTGAGAAATGAACCTATCCCGGGATCCCAGAACTGCAGGAGGCAAGATCTGAGGCTGGGCATTCAGGGAACCCTGGGACTCTCCGGCCCCCTGGCCTGACTTAGGGCCAGGTACACAAGAGTGTCCGTTAGTGTTTCTTCA